TTTTTGCGTCGAGTAGTAACCGTTGATGAAACATGGATTCATTACTACACACCGGAGACCAAAGTACAGTCAAAACAGTGGATTTCACCCGACGAACATGCTCCGAAGAAGGCCAAGACGGTCCCATCGGCCGGAAAAATGATGGCCACTGTTTTTTGGAATGCACAAGGCGTAATCTTCATCGACTACATGGGGAAAAGCAAAACTATCACGGGGCAGTACTATGCTGACTTATTGAGCCGATTCAATGTTGAATTGAAGAAAAAACGCCCCATTTGGCGAAAATAAAGTGTTGTTCCATCAGAACAATGCACCGGCTCACTCTTCCGCAGTCGCCACAGCCAAATTGGTCGAATTGTGGTACGAATTGCTGCCGCATCCACCGTACTCTCCGGATTGGCCCCCTGCGATTTCTTCTTGTTTCCAAACTTGAAAAAATGGCTCGGTGGAAAAAGATTCACGTCGAATGAGGAGGTCATTGCCGAAATAGAGGCCTATTTTGCAGAGTTCGACAAATCGTATTTTTCGGAGGGGTTAAAAAAATGGCAGAAACGTTGGAAAAACTGAATTCTCCTAAAAGGAGATTACGTTGAAAAATAAAAAAAAGTTTTATGAAAATCTTACGTCTTCATTACTAACACGGGAATTGATTTGCCCTCGTACTCTTATTAAACAATATATTTCAGTTAATTATTTTAACATTTTTCTATTCGTTTTTTGGCCATTTTCTTTTCATTATTGTTGAGCAATCAACTTACTTTTTTTTTTAAATCAAATTCTTTGATAAATCACCAGTTAAAATTTTCTTTAACAAATTCGTTTTAAAAGCGAACATTAAATACTTTAATACATGCGTACAAAATGTTGAATTTTTAAATAATTTTTGTAAAATTTTAAATACTTATTTAACGACCACGTTAAATCATATATCAAATATTAATTATTTAAACTTATAATTATACATCATGCAGAGAGAACTTAACGGTTGTATCCTAATTTTGCATTATCTCCCAGATTTTCTCATTGCAGATGAGAGAGAGACCATCGCTTTCAAACTAATTTAAAAATTTGGAAGCCTCTATGAATAATTTCGAGAGAGGGGCTATGCGAAAGGATCAGGCTAAATCCTACGTTTGTCGAGGAACGCTTAAACTACTGAACGTACGGAAATTCCCACACGTATATGCGCCACCGACGCAAAGGGAGAGAGAGCCGTGTATATAGGTGCATATACGGCATATATATCATAGTTCAGTTCCCGTCTACAAAACCCGTATTGTTCACCTCTCGTTTTCAACGTTATGATGTCGACAACGACGTTGTTTTCGCCGTTCTTACACTTCGTTTTGATATTGGCCGTATACAGTTCTTAGACTTCGGTCGTGCGTCGCTTTCCACGTCTCACGAGAATTACCCCGCGATCCAATAATAAACGAACAAATCCATTTCTCTCTTAATCCTTCGCAGCCACGTGCTGACCCTTTACCAATGCCGTACTCGATCAATTGGCCATTAAAAAGCAGGGCCATCTTTCATTCTGTACGACTTCTTTCTCTTGAAAGGGTATACCCTTGGGATCAAAAGCTCTGAACCAGCAATGCGACCGATTCGATTTCTTTCGATAGTCGATCCAGTTTTCTATTTGTCTATAAATATCTAGAGCACACGTCTAAAATTACGTTACATTATATCTTTTGTAAAGAATCTTTTATGGGAAAATGTTACTACATTCCAAAGCGCTTATTCATAAAAACGTAGAAATAAGCTACTTTTTAATGTTTTTTTACAATTGATCACGAATTTATGTAATTTCTCCTGTTTTCTCTTCTCAATAATTTATTATTATTTAAAATTCTCTCTCATTTTGTTTTCTTTTCTTTACTTTTATAATTTATATAGTTTTTATTTTCATATCTCATTCATATTATTTCTGTTATTTTATATTTTTTATTCCTTTACTTTCATTCCTCTTTTCTTTTTTCTATTCTTAGAGAGCTCTCTCTCTCTCTCTCTCTCTCTCTCTCTCTCTCTCTCACGATGGTGGATCAGTCCATATTAGACTTTCGCGAAATCCCTGTTGCGTTAAAGTCGGATAAAGCGACCCGCACGTAGAATCCTGGGTGTCAATGGCCTAAATTCTACGGATGGATGCGACGACCGTAAAGAGGAAAAGGAATGGGAAGCTTTCGCGCTGCTTGCCTCCGGTACGTGTTAATCTACACAGCTGTTGCTTATGGATGCGAGTTGCATTTATAATGCAGCGAGCTGCGAGAATCGCGAGCGATCGCGAGACGCGATTTGTCAGCGCAATTAAGAGCGACTAGGCGAAGCGCGAGAATAAATGCCGATTTCGTCGACTTAGTTGTCGCCATGTCGATCCGGCACGGTATTAAGGCGACTATTTCAGCAAACTCCCGTTTTGCTCGCTTTTAATACCGTGGATTATCGACGATGTTATTTTAGAAATAACCCAATCGCGAAACTATTAAAACTTAATTGCACCGGGAGATAACCGATGCAGTATTAATGAATCTCGAATTGAGATATTAATGCGGCTTTTATTGTGCACAAACGTTTGCATCGTCGACTTTCATGACGATTCAAAAAGGATTCTCGTATTTGCTATTTGAGAGAAATGCAAATGAGTCTGTATATATACGAGCCACTGCATTTTTGCTGACCTTCTTATTTGCATTTACAGTGCATCGCCGCGCTTAAACGCGAAACATACATGCATATACGTAGGTCGAGCCTTCTGCACGCGCTCTAATTTTCCAGCGAGTCATTGAATCGTTCGTGATTAACCCGTCGCGCGTCGGCTAGCTTTTACCGTAGACGTACAAGTGCATATTATCGGTTACCATCCAGTACTTAGAGAACGTTTACCTATCCATGTATGTACACATTTTACGAATCCACGTCAAATTTAATGTAACAATGATATGAGTGGTGAATTACAAAAAAATCTAAACATTATACGATAAAAACTGTAGATTCATTATATTCATTATTAGATATTAGATTTTTTATATTATTTTTTTCTTTACTACTGTGTGTTGTAGGATTATATTGTTTCCAGTTATATTATTATCGATTTTTTATTTTCATTGAGATAAATTGTCTTACATTTTTTGACAAATAACATTTCATATAATTATATTTAATATTAATTGGATCGTTCAATCTACTTCCTGACGTGAAATAATTCACAATGTATCTTGCAAAAATTGGAAGGCGTGATTTGATTTTTCTAGGTCTTGCACGCAGGCAAGCTCTTAAATGAACGAGGATGAAGGAACCATGTTCTTGCTTTTTATCAGCACAGTCTGTCACGCGGAACTGACGTTCTTAGCAACGCGTCCTAACTTAAAGACGGTCGGAAACTTCTCTTATAGAAGTTGCGTCTATTGAAAGCTCTATCAGTCGCGAACGCACATTACGGTGAAGGAAGTTTCGTAATTCCGAGATTTCTCTACCAAATCACAATACCTTAAAGTCAACAAGTTGTACTTGTGTCGAAAGTAGGTATTTATCGTAGTATTAATCGCAGAGAATATTTCATGACTTTTAAATATGTCACAAACTTTTATTATTTTATAAATAAAAAAAGTGCGATATTATTTTTCATATTATTTTACTAACTATTTTCATTGCTTTCAACATTATAATATTATTTTCTTGTAACGCGGTGAACTGATAGTGCAACGCTAGAAGCACGAATAATGATAGATCGATTTATCTTACGACAATGAATGAAATATCGGGAGTCTTTACACAATGTGTCAGACTATTTTTAGAACATTACTGGGTGGAGAGCGATCAGATGCATGGTCTGTTGCATGTGAATGCGCTTCCTATACGTTGAATATTCATGCAACAATCTGTAATTTGTGTCGAGCCAAAGGTCCGCACATATATTTGCAACCATCAACATAATTTTTCATCCAACAATCCTCGAATGAAGCGATTTTTCCGAATCACGAAACTAATGAATTTTAATCATATCAAGCGACCTGCGTTCGTGCTGCTTGCTGCTGCGCGATACATCTGATTGCAATCTTGCGTGTGTGACAGAAAAATCTTTTATTAGAAGCTACGTAATTACAATACTTTTGCAGCTTTTGATTAAACTGTCGGGATGCGATATAGAAATAAAAGTTGGAAATAAAAAATAAAAACAAGAACATATACTATTCCCAATTTAATTAAGCTTCTAGAATTTCGATAAAGGTTACGTTAAATTATTTTAATTCAGATCGGACTTTTGTACTTGAATAGGACAGAGTCTATTAACTTGAGCGTCTGTTGTGATGTAAATGTATCCCATTAAATAACAATTATATTCAACAAACGCGGCCTCGGTTTCCAACCAAAATCGTCGATGACATTAAAAAACGGCATTAATCCTCAATTTATTTCATATAAATTCTATCTCGGTAAATCTTAATTTTAGATTTAATTTTGGACCTCAAGGATATTTAGGTAATATTGAGATTCGTACGTACTCTCAAATTCTCACTAAACTCTGCAGCTTGATGCAAATTTTGCGGGAACATCTGATGGCGCGCACACGTAC